GACCGTGCCTCCCAGAGGGACTGCCAGGGGCACCTGAGTCCCACTCCCAGCTGTGGTCCCAGCCGCGGACGGTGGGGATTGGCTTCACGGCACATGGACCAGGAGCACCATTTCTCGGCTCCTCAGGCTGTGCGGGGATTTCACCAGCCGAGAGTGAGACAGGACACGACGATGCAGCTTCTTCAGGAGCAGAGCAACCCCTCCCCCACGGACTGTCTGGGAACCTGATCCCGTAAGGTAGGACCATGCGTCAAGAGACGATGTTGTTTCTCACGGACAGGTGCAGGGAAGGCTCCTTTGCCTGCCTGAGACATGAGCACAGCACGTGGTGCCGTTTCCTTTCCCCTCGCGTGCAGGGCCCAGCGTGGCAGAGCGGTGTCTTTGCTGACACTTGTTAGCGTGGCACTAGGACAGTTTTCACACTGACTCTGCTCTTAGAGATGCCAGCGCTCCCCCAGCCCGCTCTGCAGGCACGAGCTTCACACACATGCTTAGCGCCAGCGTGACACCTGCTACTGGATACAAACAGGCCTAATTCTCTTCTGGTGTAATTCCCACAAGCCACTGGAATTGCCCCTGGGTCGCCCATGGCTCAGCATGTTCGTTCTCAGCATCCCGAACTATTCTGTCAGCCCCCCCTAGCTAAGGGACCTGTGAGGAAAATGGGCAATGGAAGGACCAACAGCTTAGCAGCCCCAGCTCAATTGATTCTCCACATCCCTTCTGCCACCTGCACCAGGCGAGTCGGGGCTCAATGGGCTTCGCCCACAACAGCAGAGACAGGCTGGAGTTACCTGTTTTTGTTTGTGCTGGGGAAACACAGGAGCACTGGAACCCAGTGTAATAGCAGCTGACTAGCGCATAGACCCCTAGCACTGCCATTCCCGAGCCTCTCACAGCTATAGAGCAATTTATCCTTCCAGCATCCCTGCGGAGAGAGAACTATTGTCTCCATTTTACAGATGGAGAACAGAGATAGAGGGATGATGTGACTTTGTCAAGGGCACAAAGTTAGTCTCTGGCAGAGCCTGGACTTGCACCCTTGTTTCCTGACTCCCATACCTTTACAGTCAGAACGAGAACATCTTCTGCTCCCTGACACATCAGCTCTCCCAAGAAACACATTAACTGAAGATACTTTGGGAGGTGAAGCAATTTATTCTACTATAACCTTCTCCAGGATGAACCTTCTTTCATGGAAAGCCAGCAGAAGCTTTTTTACATCTGTGTTCCCAACATGGTCTGTGGAGGACCTCACACTGATTATGGTCCTAGAGGCACCAGCCCTCACACAGAGGCGTGCTACAGACATGTGCTTTGAACATGACAGGTTTTTGTACAGCCATGTGTCACTGTGGAATGTCTTCGGAGGAGGAACCCAGCTGACCGTCCTTGGTAAGTCACTCAGTTATTCAACACCTTTCCTTGCCTAGTCTTACAGTAATAGTTCCATGATTTTTGTCTCCTTTTCTCTCTTGGTGCCTAACTCTGGTCTCCCTCTCTTTTCATGCACGCACCTTCACACAGTGTTAAGAACAATGTTTAGCTCAGGGATACTCAGAACAGGCTACACATTCCCAGGGCATATAGTTTTCTATTTTCC